TCGGTGAGCAAGTCCTAGAGGCCAAAATAGCACAGAACCCACAATCCACAGCCCTAACTATACGCACCGGAGAAATAAATTATAAATTGAAAAAAATCGACACAGCAGGAAGAATCAAATGAAGAATCCAGTTTTTAGCAAGAGCATATATATCTTCAAATGTGCAAAAAAGGAAAATAGCCAAGCTTCTAGGTCTTAGAAGTTTCTGCCAAAAGAACTACGCTTTTCGAAGCCAGCTCCTTTCTCAATTGGTTGAATGGACGCTAAAAAAAATTTTTAAGATATTTTTGAGCGAGTCGCTGAAATCTTATATCAAAAATACTTTCAAATAGATGTCCTTTTGAGTCCACGACACGGGTGACGGAGTCTCATCTTCCTGCCAGATCTGATCATTTTTGGAATATTGAGTATGATCTTTTTGAAACAAAAAAATTTCGCGAAGTATTGAATACAATCAAGCAGGAGTTAAGTTTAGCGGAATAATGCCTCGGAAAAACTTGATATTTATAAAATATGAATCGTTAATTTACTGTTAAAAAATTATTAGAATTAGCAGCCTTCTTTTTGAGTCATTTGAAAGTTTTTTAACGTTTTTGACTAGAATCTTCAGTCTAATGCTGCCACGTCCGCCATGTTTTAGCATGCAAGAAGATATCTTTTTTTTCGTTTGGGTTTCCGCTAAAAAAACGTTTATTGCGTTTATCAAAACATACAATACGTAGATTTGGTTCATCCTACGGCTGGGAACATATATTCCAAATAAAGAATTGAAGCGTTTTGGTAAATTGATGAAGTAGAAAAAATGAGAAAAGAAGAAGTCAGTTTTTCAAATATTTTCATCACGACTAATCTTTCATGAAACACTAAGCACTAAAAATAACGTATAAATTTGTGGTGTTATCTTAGAAAAAAGTTATTTGACTTGTTTTGGAAGTTTGTGTTTTCAAGAGCTTTTCTTCCTTAAATACAGTTGCTTTGGTGCGAAATCCTCCTTTAGACAATTTTTATTTAAGATCTCGCAACTTTGCAAATTGAACGATGGGAAGTTTCAAACAATCAGAATGCATCGCTGCATTCTGATTTATTGAAAATTCTCATCGTTCAATTTGCAAAAACGCGAGATACCCAACCAGACTGCCGTATCAGAGCGGATACCTGAATTTTTCGAAAACCTTTAAAAGTCTTGAGCAGTAATAACATGAAAAAATGTGATGTAAAAACTGAAACGAAAATTAGTTTCTTTAAATTGAGATTTTTTGTGGAACTCTCCCCACACGCCATATAAAGCACAAAGCAATAAATTTTGCTCCTACTAAGGAAATTATCGCTCCTAGTAAGAAAATTGTTTTAATACCTCATGTTTAGCCCATTGTTGCTTGCTTGTCTAATAATGAATTAGGGTTTATTTGGTTGGTGGAGAAAGTTCACTTGGCAGATGTTGAAATCTGGAAGGGTGGATAGAATGTTCACATGGGCCGTTTTTCTACAGTAATTTACTGATTCACACAATGTAACTACCAATTTTTTTGAGTTATCTTTTGAATCAAGTTGATACTTACTCGATTACATTTTATCAGGCGCGGATCTAGGAATTTTGTCGGATTTTTTTAAGTCGATCAAATTGGTTTTCTGAGCTCTCCCTAAACACTATAAAGACCCTGGTTTGACCATATTTTCAGCGCGGCAGGCAACTTTTTGCAGAACGGCCAAAAAATCGCGTTTTTTCAGCGCGCGCTCCCCATCAAAGTTAGTATAGATTGGCGCTGAAGGCGGCTTTAGAAAAAATTTTAACGTTAGTCAGCCAGAAATGAGTATCTCAAAATAGTACAAAGGGGGACCCTTTGGTCGACAGGAGGTCGATTAATCATTCCATTAATTACTTCGTTCAAAAAGATAAAATTTGATTTGTAAAAAAGTAAGGGTAAGTTGGTAAGGAGTAAAATTCGAAGACTCAGCAACCTCACCTCTCAAACAGGTATCCCAAAAAGAAAAGATTGACTAGAACATATATTGCGAACAAAATTAGTGTTTTTGCCTTCCAAAAACTCCTCAATAAATCGAACAAACGCTGGTACCATGTCGACCCGATAGACACGGTTTTGAAAATATTACATGGAGTTTCAATAAACTCCAACTAACAATAGTCAACTGTCTTGCATTGAGTGACTGCTCGACAAAACGCTAAATTGTCCTCAGTACTTATTCGGTCATTTTTTAACCAAGCTTAGCATAGAAAACCCTATTACACGTATGAGCAATTAGCTCTTTTTGAGCAGACATGTTACGGTTGAACTTTTAAGCGATGATTTTGTGTGCTGAAACAGATGATTCGAGTTTGCTCTAAGTCCTAACACACACTTTATCTTTTTTACAGTTCCAAAAAAATCCCGTTGTCTGATCAAGTGACGGCAGAAGTACCATGATGACAACCAATTGTTCGATGCCCATGACCCATTATTTTGTGATCATTTGAATGAAATAAAAATGTGCCTGGCTCTGGTAGTCACAAAAATAATCATGAAACCTAACACTTTTCAGTGCTTCTACCGACTAATACGTAGAATGGTCCGATGTTATAAGCAACTTAGTTATCGAATGGCCCCCGACTGAAACCGAAGAGCTTTTCCAAAAATCAGACATGTTCCAACTTGTAACAACCAACACCATTGTCTTTGACTGTCATCGGAGATTCAAAATCGCATTTTCAAATTAGAAATCTCAGATACTCAATGAACTGATGCTCGCGACGCCTTTGAAATTGTCGCACGAACAACGGATGAATTACGGGTCAAGACCATCCAAGGTCATCGGAAGCTTGATGCTGTTGAAGATGACTTCGAGGATGCGGAAGCGACCAAATGACCAGGTAAGATCAGTGGAGCTTAAAAATAAGGCTGACGTGACAGTAGTAGATAATGGATTCGAAACAAAAACATATAAAGTGTTCTAGTTGATTCAAAAGGAAAGTTGTTAGTTTTACTTTTTGTGTTCTTTTTCTAAAGTAAATTCTTGATTCATGTAATGTAACTACGAAGTTTTTTTTAGTTATCAATCGGCTAAAGTTGATACTTACTTTGTGATGTCCATTTTTGCCAATCAACTGAAGTAAAGTTGTATAAAGGAGCATTTCAAGCCAATACAATTGTTTTTGAGAAAGGAACGCGATTGAAAACACAAATTTTTGGCCCGAATTTTACAAAACATGTCTAAAAGATTAATTTTTATGATAATCACCACTAATTTATACGATTTTTTTTAGTTTTTCATGAAAACTCGGAAAACCAAATGGGTCATCTTGACAATATTCGAAAAAACTGGTATCTATTTTATCATTTGGTCTATTTTATCAATTTACCACAACGCTTCAATTTTTTATTTGAAATACACGGTCTGGGCCATTGGGTGAGCCAAATCTAAATTTTGATGTTTCGACGAGTACGACAAACGTTTTTTAGATGCAAACCAAAACGCAAAAATAGGAAGCTTCTTGCACGCTAAAACATTGCGGACGTGGCACATTAGATAAGGGATTCAATTCAAAAGCCTTAAAAGGGTTCCAATATTATTCGAAAAGACTGTTGCTAATTTTTTTTACAGATTAATTTACTGACTCATGTGATATAACTATTACGTTTTTTCGAGTCCATTATTCGGCTAAACCTAATTCTTGCTCGATTGAATTCAGTTATTCGCGTAACTCCTCGATTTGAAAAAATCAATCATAAAGTGCGTGCTCTGCAAAGAGGGTCACATTTGGTAGGAGGATGTGACTACTCTACCTGTCGGGGACTCAAAGGGGCATCCTGCTAGAGTTATTGCTTGATATCCGATTTCAGCAGCGTGCCCAAATATTACGAGGCCAAACTGTGCACGGGATAGGCGCACAATTTTGTGTTTGTATGTTCCCGGATTCCAGACACAAATCTTTAAACATGTTCCAAATTGTATGTGGACTCACAGTACAAATATCTGTTACGTAAATTTTGTCGGCACTTTTGTTTTGTTGTGGATTCCGCAACAAGCGAATAGAACTAGATGTTCTGGATTCCGTAAATTTAAGTGGATTCCGCAAATTTGAGCGGATTCCGCAAATTGTAAGTAGATTCCGTAGTTTTTCTTATTACTGAACTTGCATATGATCAATTAAATGAAACTAGAGCTGGAATTATTATCTATAGCAAAGTGGATTTAAACTAAGGAATTATCCATTGTCAACGGATCCCACTAACAAAACGTAAATTATTAGTTAACTAACTATAGATGTCAAACTATAGTATCGATCACCCAAAAAACTTCCTCTATTTATTCAATTTTTCGGAAATCGTTGAGAAACGCAATCTGAAAAGTATGAAATATGCTGAGAGCAATCTAAATTATAAAATTTGACATCAAAATCCAGTAAACATTTTTGGATGGACACGCAAACGCAAAGCAAAAATTGACGGCTGAAACAGCACGTTGTTCTCATGAATTTAAATGAAACAATTGTTCCTTTATGTTGTCTAATTTATGATTATTAATTATTTGGTTTGGATGGGGGGGGGGGTTATATGGTCGATGTGTGTGTGGGGGGGAGGGGGTAGGGGATTTTTCACTTGGGCCTATGAACATTCTGTGCGACTTGTACAGCAACCTGTTAATCTTCTTAAGTAATTGATTTTTGTTCTCATTGAATACGCAGCGGAACGTCAAACAGGGCATACATTCCATTCCGTTCAATAGTATCAAAATATGAATGAGTACTAGTTCGGCATTGTTTTCTGAATGGCATTATACCCTGGCGCATTTCACAAATTTCACAAATTTCACGTGGTTCGCAAACCCTGCTGAAGTTTGATTAAAAGGTGTCAGATTCCAATGTCTCAAAAACGAGACGTCATTTGATCAATACCATAAGTTTAACCGTGTTCCAAAGTTTCTAAAGCTGCTTTCCAAAGTTTCTAAAGTTTGAGGTCAGATTTCGCAAAATCTAATGTTTGCTTTACTCGAGCAAATACAAATTCAACTTTTATTCGCTCTAACACCAAATAGCTGTGAAAATTCATACCACAACGTAAAATTTGACCATACCTTTGTATCAGAAAAGATGTTTTACTTTTACATAACAGTTTACCATCACCGCAAAACGTCATCATTTTCATGATTATGCAAATTTAGCAGATTGTTTCGAGCTTTATACGTTTTCAAATTGTGACTGAATTTGATCCGCAAAATACTGAATAGCCTTTTGTAATTGGCGGCACTTTCAATTTTGATTAAATTAAAATACTTTTTGAGAAACAATACAAACATTGATATTGTGATGCTGAAGCTTGGGCAAATAAAAGCAAGGTTAACTTATTATTTTGTTGCCCAAGGATAAAATGTAAAGTTCGATTCAAGTTGTTAACTTATTCAATTGAAAACATTCACATTGTTTTATTTTTTCATATATTTAGTGTTTGCAAAAGCTATAGGACTTGATTTAATTTTGACATAAAAATAGCCGACAAAATGCTCGCGGATGTATTCAAGTGTGTTGTGGTCGGGGACGGGTGAGTTTAATTTTCAACTAAAATCTTGTTTACAGACCCTCTCCTCTCTCCTGAACAAGCAACTAACCGCCCTGATGATGGCTGGGATTTATTGCTTAGAATGCTGAAAATCGTTAAACAGATCAAAACAGTTTTTTTTCATTGCTTCGAATAAATTGTCGAATAAGATGAATCACTTAATAAAAATTATGAATGTAACAAAAACTTTCATAAATTCAAAAAAAAAATCTAAATTTTAAAAAAGATGTCTTTTTTGGAAGATTATTCAGACTATTTAAGTTTCCTCAGAAAATTTTCTTTGAGTCTTGTTTTGATTTTTTGCCGTATTCCTTAAATTTTTCTTATTTCTTCATGACCGGATTCCTTTGATGTGCACAAAATATGCAACGATGAACCAAAAAAATTTAAAAAATTAATCACTATGTGACTTTTTTTAGGTCGACCAATTTGATTTTCTCTACCAAATCACTATAAAAAATTCAATTTGACCAAATTTTCTGCACCGCAGGCAAAGTTTTGAAAAAAGCGAAAAAAGGCGTTTTTAGGCCTTTTTTGGAAATGTTTGACCAAAAAATCGCGTTTTTTCGGAGCGCGCTCCCGCCTCAAAATTAGTATATTTCGGTGCCAAAGGCGCCTTTAGAAAGTTTTAGGGCCAGTCAGCCAAAATAGTACAAACGGGGAAACCTTTGTGTCGACAGGGGGTCGAATCCCTGAAGGAAAAGGGCGTCGAACACCCCCCCCCCCTCCCCCCCCCCCCCTAAATCCGCTGGTGACTATAATATTCAACACAGCAGATGCCCTTGACAAAAAAGCTGTGATTTGCTTTCTACCTTTAATATTGACAACTTTGCTATCAAAAACGACTTATTAAAAAACAGAACAACGGGTGGCTTACATCTTCATCGGGTTATGCAGAGTTCAGATTATACAGAAAAATGCGTTATTTCTAGAATTCAAAGCTTCTGATTTAAGTAAATCAAATACCAAATAACAGTTTTAGGGATTTTTTTCCGGTTCAATTTTTGGTTAGTTGAGTTTATTTTGATTTTTTGAATGTTTTCAGTATCATTTGATTTGCCTGGCTTAAAAAAATTAGTGTAATGATTCACTCGTTGACTGCAAATTATTTTGATGTTTTTATTCATCTTTTGCTTTTTAGTGCGTTGGTCTAAAATTTAAACTCAAAACATCAATATTTTTCGAATGATAGAAAAACTTTCCTCAAAAATGGCTAGTTAAAAAGTCGAAATTTGTCTGAAGAAACAAACCACCCCGAGCACAAATTTTCCGTTATTTTCGTCACAAAAAACGAAGCAATGATGAACAGTGCTGCTCTGTGTGATTATTGTTGGGGGGTAGCCAAATTAAGCAATTTTTTTATAAACCAAAGCCATATATTTTGTGCTATGTACGCTTAAGTGACAATTTAACCTGGTTCAAAATTCAATCCATCGAAAAAACGAACGATTGATATGAGGCACTCTAGTTAGCGTTGTTGATACATTATGACATGCAATTTGTTTCACTTTTAGCATGCATACCAATTTATCTAATTTCAATTATTTTCTAATAGTTTCATCTATTTTTAAAAGTTTAGAAAAGAAAAATTAAAGGGCAGTCAAGCACTCAAAATTTTGCCGTGGCACAATATTTAGTTTTGTTTCGATTTTAAAACAAGCCGGATTTCACTAAAAAAAACCCATACCTCGAGAAGCAAAGATAAATTTAATTTGATAACAAGATCAGCTTCTGGCTTACATTTTCTTTGCTCAAACAACAAAAATCAAACACGATCAAATAATCGCTTAAATATTTTTTAGGAATTTTTTTTCTTCTAATTAACTTTTTTCAAAAATTACCTAATAACTACTCGTTTGATCATGACCTCAAACAATATTTCAACATATTTGAAAGATATTTGAAGCAAAAAAACTTAAGCGGTAAGAAATTTTTCCAGAAGCAGTTAATTCTATTTTCATTACAATAACCTATATAGTGAGAAGGACCTATGGCCTAATTTGAGCCTGTTTAAAACACAATTAAGTTCGCAAGTACGCATTGTGCAAGTTCAAGCGCTATACTTTATTGAAGACGTATTAATTGCAATTTGCTTCAAAAAAATGTTGACAAAAATTTTGGTGTTAAGAAAATTTGATCTTCTGGTTCCATGGAGTTCCAAGGATAAAACCATGGAAGTTGGTTCCATGGAGTTCCATGGATAAAACATGATTAGAAATCAATTTTAAATTTACTGTCCATAAAAAATTTCAAATATAGTTAATTGAAAATGATATTTCTAGCTATTAATTAATAAAGCATTAAAAATCATTGCAAATCAATTTTAATTTCTTTAATTCTTTCAATTTTAATTTTTTTACTTGTATAGAAAAAGAAAATAAAACTTCCTTATATTAAATTTTTCTCTTTATTGAGATGCAAACTTCAATGCACACAAACCCGTTTGCGCGTTTTAAAACAAAGTTAGTTAACTTGTTGAATTTCTGCTCAATTTTTGCTGCTCAACTTTAACTCTTGTTTCTCAACATTATGTTACTCAATTTTGTTGTTTTCAACCATTTGGTGGGGGTGATAGGGCACAACAGGACAAATGTTGGGATGGGGGCAAGGGAATGAGCGGGCAAAATTTGGGGAGAGGGCAATTTTAAAAAGCTTAGGTTTAAAAACTGAGTCTGCTGTATGCACGTTTTCAAAAATTTCTGCCTTACCCATTTCTGCATTACGTGAAACAAAATTGAGCTGAAAAAAATTAATGTCATTAAAGGGGGATTTTTTGGTTGGTGAGGGATTCAAATCCCTGAAAAAAAAGCGTCCACCAATAACCCCCAAACCCCCCCCCCCCCCCCCCCCCCCTCAATCCGCTCCTGGTCTCAAAAGTGTCAACTGTGCAAATGAACGACACAAGCAAAACAATTAAAACCGATTTTCGGTCGCCTAAATCTGGACAAAAATGTGGAATGCGGGAATTGAAAAAAGACATCGCTTTGAAATTTTCTTAATAGGTTGAGCAGTAGCCGGTTATGTCTCAATTACCAAATTTAGAAAACTTGCAAATAATAACTGATAATAACAATCTAAAAAATCTTTTTCGTGCTGTTTAGAATGGTGGGCAAAACTTCAATGCTGTATTCATACACGGAAAACAAAGTACCAAAAGACTACATCCCGACAGTGTATGTACCCATTTTTCAGTTGTATACTCTAATTTACCTGTATTATATATAACTTTTTTACTCCTGGTTATTTTAGCTTCGACAACCACTTGGCCAAACTATTTTACCAGGGGCTGCCATACGGCTTGCAATTGTGGGACACTGCCGGTGAGACAAAGAAAATGAACTTTATAGAACTTTATTTTTTTTTACTAATTTTGTTTTCCAACAATTGCGGACCATTTCTTTTGTGGATAGGTATATGTGAGTAAAAAAAAAGCTTTCAAGTGTGGCCATTTTCGAAATTCGTTTATTGTTTTTTCCTGTCGAATTGTTTTGATAGACAAGCAAAACTGCTCATATCAAGACCGAGCCCTAACTATACCGACTGCAATGGTTTCTAGAGTTTCTGAAGTAGTGTTTGCTTTATGATGATGAGTGGTTTCTGCGATTCGCAGAGGATCTATGAAAGGATTTTTCTAGCATGTCTATCCATAGTCCGCTTCTCTCATTTCCCTACACTCCAGACTCAGTTACTTTGTTGAGTGAAGCTCTTTTTTTGCGACTAAAGGCCGTTTTGTTTGCGTCTAGAGCTTTCAAGTGCTTTATAAAATGGATTCAGTTTTCCAAAAAAAAATTATTTTTTTTGTGATTTTTTGAAATAATCCTCCCACGCAGACTACCCCCTGACTACCCAAAGCATCCCCCTTTGCTACTATTTTAAGACTTCCATTTGTGGCTGGCTGACCCTAAAGTTTTTCTAATGGCGCCTTGTGCGCCACTGTATACTAATTTTGAGGAAGCAGCGGGCGCCAAAAAAACGCGATGTGCCTAAAAACGGGTGGTGCCCTGTTTTTTTTCAAAAAAAATTGCCTATGGCATAAAAAAATTGGACAAAAAGGGTCTTTATGAGCTCGAAAAAAAAATTAATTTGGTCGCCCTAAAAAAGGTCAACAAAAATTTCCTTTTTAAAACCCGCCTAAGACGGATCAAATACGCGTTAACATCAAAAAACTGTTGCGAGTTCATTGTCCCAATCTGGGTAAAATGGCAATTTTTACACCCTATAACTAAATGAGAAAGTATCACCAGTGATTTTTTTTTTCAAATTTGAGCACAAGAGAACAAAATTGTTTGGATGAGAAAAAGAATTTGTAAAAAAATTTTAGTTAAAAAGTCAAAATTTGTGTGGATCAGAAAAAATTTTACGAATTTGGTTTTAAAATTTTCAAAAATTATTAAAATTTGGAAAATTAAATTCAAAAAAATTTCATTTATATCCAAATTTCTTTGCAATACTTGCTCCATACGCTATTTTAAGTACCATGATATATCAATTGCCTCTAAAATTTAAATAGTAGCTCCTAATAGTTCGCCTCAAATCAAATTGGAACAATTTCTGAGCCAGAATTTTTCCTTGCTTACGCTTTAAAAGTACGGAATCAGTACTTGAAACGTTGATTTACAGAGTTGAATGAAAATTTTGCGCGTTAATTTTCTCAATTTGACCATAAGAATCAAACTGAAGTTCAAAACGCCATGTTTTTTTTTGAAAAATTGTCACGCGTGAAGTTGCTTTTCATTTTGAGCTCAAGACATCAAAACCTTCCAAAAACTACGCTCAGTTATCGCTCGTCAGAAGTTTGAAATTTGTCTGAATGGAAAAACATCCGTCACAGCAAAAAAGCTGCTCAGATTTTAATGCAAAGACTTAAGGTCGAAGGTATCAGTCATCTTCCTGAGGAGTTAAATGAAAGTTGAAGAATTAAAAAAAAAAGAATTTCCTCAGCTGAAATATAATCCACTCCACTGGACGATTGTTTTTCCTCTATTGCTATTTAAGGTACAGATGGAAGAAATTAACGAATATCAAGTTTGACTAGTTACAAATAGCTTGCTTCAGTTCAAATTAGAAAGATTTCCGAGCTGTTTTAAAATAATTTACGCATTAATTGTCCTTAATTGGCAAAACTAGCAAGTTTTTAAGTTAATAAAATTAATATAACTTTAGGGAAAATTTAGTATTGATTTTTAGGTGAGGTCGTGAATATCATTCAGATGGAATAAAAACTTCATTAAAAAGTGCATAGTTGAAGAATCGAAGAATGCTTAAAAAACACGGAAGCTCGCATATGAGAACATAACCCTCAATCATCCCTAATTTTGAAAAAATTTATATTTTGCTTCAAATTAATTGATGGAATAATTTTAAAACGAGGAAAAAACTTTTTGTTTTTCAACATTGAATTACCCCACACGCTATACAAAAAAAGAATGTGGTTTATTTAGCGCCTCCTGTCGTATCAATAATACCAAATTCCTCGCCTCAATTGTCTTGGAATAATCTAACTCCTCGCTTAAACGTAGTATGATATCGCAAACAACTTCAATCATTCCAAGTAGGCCAAATTAAAAATTTGCAGACCCCCACAAATTTTCAAAAAATTACCGCAGGTGAAATTCTTTTACAGTTGAGGTTAATTTAACGAGTTTTAGAAAAAGTATAAAACATTTAGCAAAAAAACGGTATGCCAAAGGTCAAAATTTGACTAAAAAACACTTTAGCATAAATATTCCGTCACCAATCAAAAAGTTTACATTATTTCTTCAAAAATTAGTATGTTTACGAATTTGGTCTTGTGAATTGACTCTTTATTGATATCTTTCAGGCCAGGAAGACTACGACAGACTACGGCCACTTTCATATCCTCAAACAGTGAGTCATCTTCAGTACTTGATTTGTATTTTGTATCCCAAAAATCAAAGATTACATGATTGTGCTTTAGGACATCTTCCTTGTCTGCTTCTCAATAGAAAAGATGGACTCATACCAAAATGTGAAAACAAAGGAAAGTATAGGTTTGCTCAAGTGTTTTTCATCCGACCATTAAATGCTTGTTATTCGGCGCACTTCATCCTCGCAAACTCACAAACATCAGATAGGCTCGAAGTGATGAAGCACATTGAAGCCCTCCGTTGGTGATTCATACTGCATTAAATAATTCCTCCGTTTAACATGTAATCTGACAAGAATCTTGGTTAAATCAGACTTTTTGTCATAATTGCTATGTTACTAGGAGCAAAATCTTGTCCTTTATATGGTTTGATTTTTTTTTTTAAATCTCACATTTAAGAAAAAAAATTCATTTTTTTTCGAAAAACTCATCAATTCTTATAAAGCGAACACTGCTTCATTGAACTTGTACGGCGGTCGGAAATTTCAAGGCTCAGTCCTGATACGAGCAGTCTTGTTGTTCCGACTTTCGATACGAAGGTAACGGAATATTTGTGCTCGGGGTGGTTTTTTCTTTCTTCAGACAAATTTCGACTTTTTAACTAGCCATTTTTGACGGAAGTTTTTTACATCATTCGAAAGCTATTATTAGCCTGAGCTTAAATTGGAAAAGATATTTCACTGTAATCATTTTTCGTAAAGTTATGAGGGTTTGAAGATTGCCATTTTGGCCATTTTGGCCATTTTGAGACAATTAACGCGCGATATATTTCGCGCTATTAACGCGTAAGCGAGATTTAATCCGTCTTAGAAATCGTTCCAAATTGGTTCAAGGAAGCTTATATGCTATAATTGATTTGTTAAACGGAGCAACATCTATCACTTTGTACTTAATATGGCGTGTGGGGGATGTTTTGACAAAAAAACTCAAACTTTTTAGAAAAAAATTTTAATTTTACTTTATTACAATTAATTTTTCAAAGTTATTACTGCTCCATAGACTTAAAAGGCAGTCGGAACAATCAGGGCTTCGCCCTGATACGAGCAGTCTTGTTGTTCCGACTTTCGATACGAAAGTAACGGAATATTTGTGCTCGGGGTGGGTTTTTTTTTCTTCAGACAAATTTCGACTTTTTAACTACCCATTTTTGACGGAATTTTTTTCTATCATTCGAAATCCATTATTGCCCTGAGCTTAAATTTGAAAAGATATTTCACCAGTGACCATTTTTCCTAAAGTTATGAGGGTTTAAAGATTGCCATTTTGGCCATTTTGACCAATTTGGGACAATTAACGCGCGATATAATTAGCGCGATATAATTCGCGCTATTAACGCGTAAGCGGAGATTTAATCCATCTTATAAATCGTTCCAAATTGGTTGAACGAAGCTTATTTGCCATAATTGATTTCTTACAAGGAACGAAATCTATCTTTTTGTACCTTATATGGCGTGTGGGGGGATGATTTTCTTTAAAAAATTTCAAATTTTAGAAAAAAAATCTTCAATTTATGTAATTTCATTTAATTTGTTATGTTATTACTACTGCTCCATAAACCTTAAAAGGCAGTCGGAACATTCAGGGCTTCGCCCTGATACGAGCAGTCTTGTTTAGTTTTTCAGATTAAATTTACGCTAATTTTCAGATCGACTTTTACATTGTCAATCCAACCTGGCTTTGGAACACTGGCTATGTTTTAGCTCACTTTGTCTATTCATAATTTAAATTTAGCCACTACTGCTGCACATAAATGCGTATATTATGTTCATCCATCATTCAGAAATTCCAATTGATTAAAGGAAATCTGAAAATTTTGAAATTTCAACTAAAGATCAGAAAATTAAAGGAAATTCTGGCGAGTCGTTTTGCGTTCCTTCGCAATATTTCTTGCAAAATTTACATTCAATTTACACACTAGTGTACATTTTATTGTTCCGACTTTCGATACGAAAGTAGCGGAATATTTGAGCTCGGGTGGGATTTTTTTTTTCTTCAGACAAATTTCGACTTTTTAACTAGCCATTTTTGACGGAACTTTTTTTATATCATTCAAAAGGTATTGTTGTCCTGAGCCCAAATTTGAAAAGATATTTCACCTGTGATCATTTTTCGTAAAGTTATGGGGGTTTGAAGATCGCCATTTTGGCCATTTTGACCAATTTGCGACAATTAACGCGCTTTATTTTTCGCGTTATTAACGCGTAAGCGGAGATTCAATCCGTCTTAGAAATAGTTCCAAATTGGTTGAAAGAAACTTATTTGCCATAATTGATTTGTTACAAGGAGCTAAATCTAACTTTTTCTACTTTATATGGCGTGTGGGGTGATGATTTTCATAAAAAATTTCAAATTTAAAAAATGTTTTATTTTTTTATTTTATAATATTTAATTTTTTTAATGTTATTACTGCTCCATAAAACCTTAAAAGGCAGTCGGAACATTCAGGGCTTCGCCCTGATACGAGCAGTCTTGTTTTACTATTCATTTTCGAAATAAATCTACGGCTGAGCGGGAAAACTCGTTGATCAAACTTAAAACTTCATAATTTGCCCAAAAATGGAAAGAAATAATAGCAAAAAAATTCTTTACCCAATAGTGAAAAATTCTTTACCTAATAGCAAAAAATGTAGTTGCCCAAAAAAACGAGGATCTTGAAAAAATAAATAATTATTTTTATATGTTTAGTGGGCACCTGAGCTTAGATCACACGACTTGCGAGTGCCGCTGATTCTAGTGGGCACTAAGTGTGACCTCAGATGCACATACAAGGTGGATCAGATGATCCAGAATTCCGGCACTCATTCCAGACACTCCTCCAGAGACATACAGAAGAGCAGAGGAAAAGTCAAAAACAACAACATCAACAGCACTGTTGCAGTATTACACCCCAAAATGGTAGCTTCAATACTTTTTCAAGACGTTTTCTTAACCATTACTTTTTCCACTTTGGTAACAAATAAAATATGTAAACAACTTTTGTGTGCCTAAATATTTGTTCAATTTTTTTCCGCGCCTGGTTATAGCCAGTTTTTTTGAAAGTTATATAAAGAATAATCTTATACGCAAATAATAATAGTAATTATTTTTCTCGTTCCAATATTATTATTTGCGTATAAGGTTATTCTATATATAATGTTCGGAAAAATTGGCTATGTCGAGAAGTGAAGTAAATGAAGAAAAACCGACAGTTGAGGTGTTCAATTTTTTACGTTGAATATATATTGAACCATTAACCATGATCTTCATGAGCAGTTTAAAGCGTAATGCAAAAAATGAGCAGGAAGCTTGAGGCAACGAAGAATTTCAAAAAAAAACAAGACTGCTCGTATCAGGGCGAAGCCCTGAATGTTCCGACTGCCTTTTAAGTTTTATGGAGCAGTAATAACAATAAAAAATTAAATGTAATAAAATAAAATGAATTTTTTTTTCTAAAATTTGAATTTTTTTTTTGAAAAAACCATCCCCCCACGCCATATAAAGTACAAAAGGATAGATTTCGCTCTTTGTAACAAACCAATTATGGCAAATAAGCTTCGTTCAACCAATTTGGAACGATTTATAAGACGGATTAAATCTCCGCTTATGTGTTAATAGCGCGATTTATATCGCGCGTTAATTGTCCCAAATTGGTCAAAATGCCCAAAATGGCAATCTTTAAACCCTTATAACTTTACGAAAAATGATCACAGGTGAAATATCTTTTCAAATTTGAGCTCAGGACAACAATACCTTTCGAATGATATAAAAAAATTCCGTTAAAATTGGCTAGTTAAAAAGTCGAAATTTGTCTGAAGAAAAAAAAACCCACCCCGAGCACAAATATTCCGTTACTTTCGTATCGAAAGTCGGAACAATTAGCTCAAAGTTTTCAAATATGACACGGACACAACATGCTGCTCAGATGTGTCGTATTTATGGCTGAAACACATAGTTGCTATATGTTTTGTGCCATATGAAAAACTAGAGCAGTATTTGAAAAACAAGTGCTATCTTTGAAACACTAGTACTTTATACGAAACAATGAGGCAAAATTTTTCCGAGATTAATCAAACAAATTGAATTCAAAAGTAAATTGCACGTGATAGCTAGCAAATTTTTTCAAATGAGCGTAATTTGTTCAATGTGTTTTATACCAAATAAGCAAAAGCTGCTATTGCATCTCGGAATTAGATCATTTCTCGAAACTGCGTTGACAGTTTTTCGGAAAATTTTTTGATGCAAAATCTAGATGTTGCTTGTCTATTACATCAATACTGATAAGCATTTTTTACAGGGCTACAAAAAAATTTTGGAAACAAAACTTCTAAAAATCAGGGAACATTTGTTACTTTATTGTCGCAAAAAATACTTCAATGATCAAACAAAACTTTTTAGTTTCTGGAAAAACAATAGTCTTTTTTCAAATAAGGTAAGAAGTTTATCTTCACGATTTGTTAGATTTTTCTTCACGTATAAAATTACATGGATATTTATGACCAAATTATTTTCATTCATAGAAATCGCAAGCTCAGAAAGTTTGGTCAATCCGAGTCTTTTTGCAGAAACATTTGTATTTCTTTCTGGGTTTAAAAGTAATCGGAAAAGCGACACAATTGGGAAAGCTTGATCACAATATGCTTTTCAATAAGGAAGTCCATCCTTTAAATCCGTTTTGATTTTATTCCTTTTTTGCGCTATTTGCTTTTTCGTTGGGGAAAAAGATTTGTGCCAACCAAAACCAACAACACACAAAAACCAACAAAACTCTGCGTAAAGAGATTTGAAAATTTTTGAAAAAAAAGCAAATGATTGACAACACAATCTAAAACTTTTTCCATAGACTTTCAAAAAAATTGAAGCGATGTTTGAGCCAGTTGTTTTTTTTGGGTCTTCATCTGCAAAACATTACGAGGCCAAACTGTGCATTCTGTGCATTGTATGCGGATTCCAAAACAGACCAAAATCAGATTCGTCGCGGAATCCACACCATTGCTACTTTTTTTGATCTTCTTTGCTGTTATGGATTCCACAAACAAATACTTAAAACACTGTTCCGCTCAATTTCGCTCCAAAAATAGACGAAGTTGTGGAATCCGCAACCGTCTTTGCGGAATACAGAGCAGTTCGTGGAGTCCACAAACAAACAATAAGACATGTGTATAGTTAAATTGAGCTGTTGCGGAATCTGCAAAGTGTAAGTGGAAAACGCAAATTGTAAGTGCAATCCGCATTTTGTTTGCGGATTCCGTTTTCATAAATGTAATTATGTAGTAGCGTTTAAATTTTTATCTTTTAATTTTTTGATTTGATTTCACTAGAATAGGAATTTACTAAATCGTTGTTTCGGATTAATGGAACCCCAATTTGGGATCGATGGAACCTCAAATACTGACCTAATGTGGCGATATGCTGTGTGTTTTGTTTCTTTACACTCTCAACTCAATAACTACATTTGCTGAATTTATTCGGCGTTATGCTTTCAAAATCAGTATTTGGGGTTAACGCAATCCTAAATACTGACCTAGTTTGGCGATATGCTGTGTGTTTTATTTGCATACAATCTTAACTCAATGACTCAAAACATTGAAATTAATCGGTGTTGTGTTTCCAAAATACTAAAAGATGACATCCATTGATTTAGGTAACCAATGTCTTAAGACTTGTTCGTGGATTCCGCTGACAATGGTTAAGTCCTTGCTTTTAATTCCGCATTGCCAGAGATAAGAATTCCAGCTCTAGCTTTTAATTGTTCATATGCAAGTTCAACATTGAACAAAATTCGGAATCCACTTACCTTTGCGGATTCCGCTTACATTTTGCGGAATCCACTTACAGTTGCGGAATCCAAAACAACTAGCTATATTCGCTTGTTGCGGAATCCACGACAACAAATGTGACGACAAAATTTACGTTACACTCATATGCACGCGGAATCGACGGAAGTTTTGTAAGTGGAATCCACTTACATTTTGGAACACGTTTAAAGATTAGTTTTTGGAATCCAGAAACATACAGACACAAAATTGTGCGCGTATCCAGTGCACAGTTTGGCCTCGTAATGTAGGTTTTCGATAAATTATATGAGTTATTGCCAATTTGATTTAATTCCTGTGCTCCATAATGCCCATTTTTGCTCGTTCCTTCGGCGACGAATTGTACAAAGTTGACATTAACTAAATGGTCCAGATAAGATAATGCTTCACTATCGAAAAAAACATAAACGTGCTCCGCATTTTGTGTGGGGGAATTGTCACAAAAAGCAGTTATTTTTTTGAAGCCAAGTTCAAAATGTAACTTTAGCGAAAAGTTTTTACCGAAAAAAAACTATTTCGGTCATCTTAATGGACACATAGAACATTCAAAAATTCGCCCTGATACGAGCACAGTTTTATAGTAATTATAAATTTTTGTTTTAAATCAGGGTATCAAACTGGCGAAGAAAATTAAAGCAGAAATGTATATCGAGTGCTCTGCCATGACCCAGCAAAATCTATCCATTGTCTTCGAGTCAGCTCTCAAAATCTGTCTAAGAAAAAGAAACGGAGGAGTCAAATTCAGATCTCGCAGCGAAAGTCAGAGAAAGCAACGACCTGAAAGCATATTGGCAACAAGACCCTCAGATAAGTCATCCAAATGTAGTATTATGTGACTCTGTCTGCAGTCGGAACTGTTTGAAATTTAGTTGTTTAATTTATTTATTTTTGTATAAGTGAATTGGTTGTGCTAATTAACATTAATAATTTGAATCAGAACACAATCAAAGTTTTCACTCGGTTTTATCGCCAAATTTCATATTGCCAGAAGTTCATACACCGAAGCTAGTTTTTCCTAATAAGCAAAATTAACAAGAAAAAAAGAAATTAAATTGCTGTATTTTAGAATTTCTCCGGTACTGATAGCTGTAATGAGTGTAATACCAATTCTTTGCAACCACAAAAAAATCTAAAATTTTTTGTTTTGGTTTTTGCACAATATTTTGATTCTTATTCAAAACTATTTATCCACGAGGGATAGGACCAACATACGAGCTGTACAGCTCATCGCCGTCAACCACTGTTGTGCCCCTGCTTAAGAACTACATCCATTTTTGTTGAATATTTTTCTGGGCCGAGTAATGTTGCCTCAACCTCAAGCAAAGAACACGGATAAGGTTGGGCCTCGAATATCCGACCTTTCTATTGAGAGGCGGAGACGAAACCACTTCACTGCCGTTCCCCTGTTCTCTTAGCAAAAGTCAAAAATTTACAGCTTAAAATTAGATTTTCCAGAAATCCAGACTTTTCAGTTTAATATACAGTCTAGAAATAAGCTTCGCTATTGCTGACGTAACTTGTCATAGTCTGGATGTCTAAATGCAACAGGAACACGGGTTGACCATCCTACAAAAAGTCTCTTCTTATAAGATTTGTAGACACTTTCCTCTGACCTACAACTTTCTTATAAGACATCATTTTCCAGAAAACATTTTAAAATTTTAAAAAATCTCAAAATTCCAAAAACACTTTAAATGTGTCTATTTCGTGAAGACGAATCAAAACCAATTTTGAAAAATTTTTCTTTTTTTTGAGTTTATGCATGAGAAAAATTTTAGTTTTAAGTTATGTATTTTGAACAAAATATTCCAAACCAAAACTTTTCTTTCAGTAGAATCTCCTAGTTAAAATTATTTAAGCGTTAAAAAAGGGGCGGATTAAGGAGTTTTTGACCCCCTCACCAAGCAAGGAGTCACCACTTTGGTATTATTTCATGAAATCCATTTTAGGCCAACCAACCCAAAAATTTTTCCAGAAACCGTTTTGGGCGCCAAAATATAATAATTTTGAAGGAGAGCGCGCTGTTAAAATTTTCCAAAAAGTGTCCGAAGTGCCTTTGTTACCTGTTTTTTTTTTTAATTTGTCTGCGTTACAAAATTTTTCGTCGAAATATGGTCTATTTAGTTTTCTGGGGCTACTCAGATAATCAATTTAGTGAAATAGAGATGTTTGAAATTTATTTAGTCGGAAAATCAATTTAGTCGACGTAAACAAAACTTCGAATTTTTTTTGAAAAACCGCCCCGCCTCGAGAAAATCTCAGATGCCACCCTGATTCATAACTTTTTTGAAGACAAAAAAAAACATTTTTTGGCGAATCATGACATTAAACTTCGAACGGGTTGTATGTTGGTTCAGATATCATGAGAAACATTCTACATATCCGAGAAAAACTGTGATTTTCTCTCTTGGACAAAAAAAAATTGTGCTTTCGACAACTCGAAGAGCTAACCAACCTGTCTAAGCATAATACGGTAAAATTTGTACTCTACATTTTTGCTTTTTGTAGAACGAATTTTTTGCGATTCAAATCTGTTTTTTTTGCGTTTGGGCAGCCAAAAACGGGCGAGCGATGGTATATCCAAAGCTAGAGTCAAGTTAGATCTCGTTCTCACATATAAATTCCATGGAATGGGATCGATTAAATGATCTGAATATCTTTAAGTGAACGCCATACCACTATGCTAAGTGCCTCCTGCCCTGTATAATGTATCGATTAGGCATTAACGCGGTTCAAAAAAATTTTTTTATCACAGAAAAAACATTTAATTTCTGCTGAAAAAAAAACACTTTTCTAAATTGAAACTCTCTTCTATAACGTGAAAACACCCCTATCGACATAAAAATTGGGAATAATTTTTTGAAATCAATATCTAGGGCATACTAAGATGAATTTAATCTAAAATTGTTTCAAGCAGGCAATATTATAAAAATAATTTAAGCTATTGCAGATGATTTAAATGTTATAGATGCTAATTTTTGAAGCTTTAGTTAATGCTTCCTTGGCAAAAATCAAAAAGGTACAAAAAATTTGATAGTTTTTCGCAAAGTTTTTTGAATTTTTTTTCATTTTCATTTTTCAACGAAAACTGCAGTCCAATATGACTATTTTCGCAGTGTTAAATTTTTATGTTTTGTTTCGTCTCAGAGAACCACGCAAAAAAACACAATTTTGAAAAAAATCAACTTCTCTTGTTAATGTGGTCAAAACATTTTTTCAATTTGCACAACAACTGTCTTCTCTTGGTTAAAATACTGGATTATATATTTATTATACACTAGGACAACAATTCTCCTTGACTACGCTGCTGATTGAAAATCGATAAAAACATTTTCCTTTTGAGAGTCTCAAATGTACTCTTAGATTACAAGAGTTCAATGAATGGATCGCACCTTCGGTGGACATTTTAACATGACAATTTTAAGATTAGTCTAATGAATAAATTTATTAAATTTAATCATTTCATATTGCTTGATAATTCCATGTTGATATTGCTTGATATTGCTTCCATGTAATTATACTCATTTTGTTTTCAGATTAACTAATTTTTGAGTTCTATTCCTCGTCTTCGCCTTTGACGAGTGCTTCGTATTTATTCAAAACTGCGAACGCATCATCATGCACAAGCACGAGAGCGAGACAAGTTGTCTTAACCACGTAGTCTCCTGGGCCCAGGATTTCATTGGCAGGCACTTCGACCTTCCACGTTTTGTTCCTCACCCTCTCCTCCCTAAGAACTTCGCCCTCCTCGTTCTCAGTTTGTTGTCTGTGTCTCCCTTTCTTGACCTTACCCATCACCTGAACATTAATGAGCACATTTTGCAAAGATGCTAATGGGACAAACTGAACAACCCTCGTCCCCTTAATTATCGCAAACAAATGGCCAGTGCGGACACTTATCTAGGCGTTTTCATACACAGTTTGTGTCGGTACAGGCCAGTGCAAACACGTGTATGTCTGTATAATTAGAGGCGAATTTAGGGAGGATTCGAAATCTTCTAAAGGCGCCAATATATACCAACCGCCAAAATATACTAATTTTGAAGGGAAGCGCGCGCAGAAAAACGCAAATTTGTTTGTCGAAATTTTCCAAAAAGTGCCTGAAAACGGCTGCGCAAAGTTTTAGGTCAAAATAGGGTCTTTAGAGTGTTCTAGAAGCGCTCAAAAAAGCAATGTGGTCGGTCGACCTAAAAAAAGGTCGACAAAATTTTCAAAAATCTGCCCCCCCCCCTCGAAAAATTCCTAGATCCGCCCCTGAGTCGTATGTTGATTTTACTCTCGGTTCAATATATTAAGGATGTTTTTGCGATGTATTTGAGATTTTTGATTACTCTGATTTTTAATTCTGATAGGCTAAGTTTCCTCTTTTTTATCATTCGGGCACCCTTATGAAAAAGAGTCTCAGTTTTCTGCGTTACCACTGCTAAAATATAGATTTTACCTTAGAGAATGCGCCCCTCTTAGCCATTGCGTATATATGTGGTTGAGCCGCTTTACTACCATCCCGTATTCTGTTTTTGATCACAAAATCCTGTGTCACCATCAGACTGTGTTCTTGTACCTATGAAAACAAAAACTAGATGTATCTTCAAAAGAATTTGGATTGGTAAATTTTTAAAAGTTAAAATATATGAGAGATACAGAAGCGGATTTAAGGAGGGGGGGGGGCGAACGCCTCTTCCCCCTTCAGGAGTTCGAACCCCTGCCAACCCAAAGGGCACCCCTTTGTACTACTTTGAGACATCCATTTTTGGTGACGGACCCTAAAATTTTTTTTAAGGCGCTTTTGGCCCCAATCTATACTAATTTCAAGGGGAGGGGGGGGGGGGCGCCGAAAAAACGCAATTTTTTGGTCGAAATTTTCCAAAAAGTGCATAAAAACGCCTTTTTGGCCTTAAAAAATTGCTTGCGGCGTAGAGAATTTTGTCAAATTAGAGTCTTTATAGTGATTTAAGAGAGCTCAGAATATCAATTTGGTCGATCTAAAAAAAACAGTCGACAAAACTTTCAAACTTTTTTTGATATCCCCCCTCGAGAAATTCCTAGATCCGCGCCTGGTGAGATGTATGATGAATGAGCCAATTGTTAAATTGTAATAATACATTCCAGTTTCCAGTTATTCCCATCAAATTTTTTGTATTTTATATATATATATATATACAAGAAAACTTTACCGAATAGCGTACATTCAAAGGAAAAAATGCATTGAAAGTTTTCTAGAAATTTTTTTCGTTACACAGAGCAAAGCTTGATTTTTTCAAAGTTCTAAAAAGTGCAAAAAAGAAAAAAAATAAGCCTCGAATAAGTAAAAAAAATTGTCTGGAAGTCGGATTCGAACCTACGACCTACTGCGATCTAGAGATTATGAGTTTCTCCCACTAACCACTCACCCACAGACACTTATTTAGTACGAAACACAGCCTGAAATAAAGTAGAGAGCAGATGCCATTCATTTTCCAATGCTACAGTGAAATTTCCAAATAAGTGAACACTTTCAATGAACTTTTTTCTATTGCAAATTCGATTAGAAAAAAGAAGTTTCGTACTAATAAACTAAAGCTTCAAAGCTCGCTAGTGTGGACAACGTTTTAGAAGTAGTGAATTTGTCATTTCAATAGTTGATTAACACTTAATCATGAAATAATTTCAAGTATTCTCATCAAAATCAGAAATTTGCTCAGTTAAAACTCAGTTTTTTAGGGTGGTTTTACAGCATTTCTTGGATATCCTGTTGAATCTTGCTCACGTTTTCGTTCCTAATGAAATTGAGAAATATGTTTTAGAAAAAGCGGTTGCGTTTCAATGAAAACTTGAAATTAATGCAATTTGGGAAAATTTGAAAACGTAAGTTTGCTATTTGAGAATTATGCTTTTTACGACGTTATCGATTGAACAAATCATTTTTTCAAAATAGAAGTCTTTCACGCTTTTTCATGGCATTTGCATTTTTCTAATTTGAGAGCAAATTTCTCTGCACTTAGCAAACTATTTTGAATTGAACTGAAGAATAAATTGAAAGTCAAACCGAAGAAAAATCAAGATTGAGCGTAAGCAATTTGTAAACCTTTTGGAACCAGTTCAAAGCAAGTATTTATTATATCCCATTATCTTCTTGATAGCTATCTCCGTAAAATACTTAGCACTAACCAATCAGTTCCAACCAGAAAAGTTTAAACCAGAAAAGAATAAATTTAACTTAGCAAACAACTGCTTTAAGTCGTTTCTAAGTCTCTTTCTTTATTCTAAACCTCGCAACAATATCAGTATACAAGAGATCTACGGAGACTAGGAAATATAAGAGTAAGACTAAAATGGTATTAGACTAAGAAGTTGCACGATCCTATCCGGCCGAAAATAAGATAGCGTGACGAACAGACGGTGTACCCTATCCAAAATTACTCTATGAGAAAGCCACCCCGGACTTAAACTCACTTTCTCTTGAAATTAAAACAACAAAAAAATCAAGATCATCAATGTCTTCACAAAGTTCATTGAAAATTAAATACGGTTGCTTCAAAAGTTATGATATTATTGGCCACAAAAAAGAATAAGCAAATCAAGTTAACATGACTTCTCCCATCAGAGCGCGTCGTTAATTTGTTCCAACTGTCCTTTAAGAGGAGTCACTCTTTTAGAAAAAAACTGGTAAGAGTGATACAAAAAAACCTTTTCAAATAAAAACTTTCCTGAAGATTTTGCGACAGTACCCCTATCACATGATTTCTTTTCCAGCTATTGAGATTTCAGCTTTTTGAAAGTTGTCAAGCTGCATAAATGTTCTAAAGTGGATGTGGTTAACAGTTAGATCGCGCAATTTGAACAAAAATACACGAACCCTGAGAGCCACTTGTCGCTGTATGGCGAGCACCAAATCCTTCTCCCGCTTTCTTTTCCCCTTCTCGTCAATGACACCAGCTGCATCCGCCTTCTGCTGCGCTATATTTTTCACCTAATTTAATTACTCAACACTAAAATAAGTGCCCCAATTCGAAGTTGTTCGGGAAGAAGCACAAAATCATGCAAGTAGTGCAAAGCAGTATCATGTCGAGGTTGTTCAAAAACCCTCGTTTTATTTCCCTCTTGTTGTACGCAGATGTACTTAATTTGATTTTTATGGTCCTTTTACATTTTCGTGGAAGTGTTTTAATTCTTAAGACCGTTTATCCACGGGAGAAAGGACCAAAACAAGAGCTGTACAACTCATCACGGCAAATCGCTGTTGTTTGCTTCTTAAGAAGTACATGCAATTTTTTTTGGTTATTTTTCTGGGCTGGGTACTGTTGCTTCACCATCAAGCAACGAGCACGGATCATGGTGGGCCTCGAACATCCGACCATTCGATTGAGAGGCGGAGACCTAACCACTTCACTACCACTCCCAAACTTCACCACCGCTCCCAATTCAACGAAGAAAAAAAATAGTAGACAAAAATAGTTTTGTTCACATCAGTGGATTCTAATTTAGTTCACTAACTTGTAGTTATTTTTCTGGTCATTTTCCAGATCTTGAAAATTTCGACTAAACTTATTCAAAGAAGCAGTAAGCAAAGTAAGAACTCAAGTAATTAAGTAAATTTTTATGTAACAGCTTTGTCGTCCTTCCTAGATTTCCAAGTAAACCAATCCCAATGATCGAACCCACTGAAATCTTGTTATTAGGTAATAACCTAAGTTTTTCTGTTTCGTATTTTCAAAAGGGAGAAAAATTTCCAAAAAACGCTCAAAAAGTTAAAGTTGCCTGCAGCGCAAAATATTTTTTGTGAAGTATGGCCACTCAAAACTAAAAACAAAATGTCAAATGGCAACTGACATAGAAAAAAACCGCATCGAAATTTCATGTGTAAAACGGAATAAATTGGATTTTCGTCTATTACAATTTTGTGTTGATATAATCGATTATGGTGCCCAATTTAGACAATTTAATGAAGTTTAGTCCTTTATGATTGGTTGTTATTGATTAAAAAAAAAATAAAATTCTATTCGAAGCGATTAAAGCCCAATTTAGTAACCAAAATAACCGTGTTTTTTTTTGTCCACGGAACCCATCAAAAACAATTTTTTTTGCAGATTTGAAATTTTTAATTAAAAGATTGGAATCAGAAGACCCCAAGTTTTGAAATTCTAGAACAATTTATAATTCACAATTTTTTTTTAAAGAAATCATTGAAGACGTCAAATTTCGGAAACTAGAAGTAATTAAAAAGTATTTTAAGCCCGAACAATTTTTAAAACATTACATTAAAAAAATGAAAAAAAATCATCTTGACCTGTATAAGAGTCTGGATTATCTTTATCAACTAGTAAAAAACGCAATTGATTTTGAGAAATATAGCCGGCATACAATTGAAAAAGAGTTGTTGAACGGAAGGAATCGGAAAAACTGTTTAGTTTTTTTGAGTTTCAAACTAGCAAGCACGTCTTATTATTCAATCGGCTCGCAGAGAGCAAGAAATCTTTGAAATACCTTACACGTATTTTAGCTTGAGCCGGGGTACACGAATGATAGTTGTGTCCAGGAAAAGCAAGTATGAAAGATGGTTTTCGCAAAAAATTGCGTGACCTTTAAAAACATTATTAAACAAGCGAACCTTAATTTTAAAAATTTGAAGCCCTAAAAAGTTCTCTTTAGGGAGTCATCTAAATTTAAGGGACCCAATTATCATAATTGTGCCCGAACCAGTCGCAAAATCTTTGTAAGCAAGCCATTCAAACTAGGAAATTTTTGAAAAATTTACAGCCCCAAGAAAGTTTCCAAACAGTAAGCTTATCTAATAAAACCATTCAAGCAATTTGATAGTCGATGATTTACTAATTTCGAAATTTGTTAAGTTTTTAAAGTGTGATATTTTGAGAATTTTTGAAAAAATCAGAAACACCGTCCTATCTCGGAAGCTAAAAAAAAATCGAGAAGACTTATTTGGAGGCAGAGTTTTCAAACCCTGAATTTACGCTGACAACACCCCATCATAAGTTGCTAACTTCAACTTTTGTGAAGTTCTTCAAATTTAAATATTTTGCAATATTTTCACAAAATCAGAAAAATTCCATATTTCGGAATAGCTAAAAAGTTTCGAGCAGTCATATTTGGAGGCAAGATTTGCAACTCTGAATGTTTCTTCACAGCATTCCATCAGAGAATTGCATATTTCAGAGGACAGGTGCAAACATGTTTGGAGGCAAGATTCGCAAACACTGCAACTCTAAGGTGAATCATAGAAACAACGTATATCAGAAACTACAAGGATTTGAGCAGGCATCTGTGCGAGCGAGATGTGCAATTCCTGAAATCTCCCTGACATTACCCCACTACAGGGGTGCTATTTTCACATTTTGTTATCCTTAATAAATTTAAGTTTTTAGGACATAACTTTCGGAAAATCATGAAAACGTCAAAGTTCGGAAGCAACAACTTTCAAGGCAAAATTTAACACCCCTGAAAATACCCTGAGAGGATCCTACCATACAATTGCTAATTTCAATTTTTGTGAAGTTTTCCAGTTTTAACTTTTTAGAACATTTTTCAAGAAGTCGTTGAAAACTTCAAGTCCCGAAAACTAGAAGAAATTGAGCACTCATACTTGGAGACAAGATTTGCAGCCCCCGAAAATACCATGACCGAACGCAACTACAGGGTTGGAAATTTGATTTTAATTGCAATGTTTTTCAGTTTAATTTTTATGGACGATTTTGAGGAAAAAAATCATAGAAACAACGTATATAAGAAACTACAAGGATTTGAGCAGGCATCTGTGCAAGCGAGATTTGCAATTCCTGAAATCTCCCTGACATTACCTCACTATAGGGGTGCTATTTTCACATTTTGTTATCCTTAATAAATTTAAACTTTTAGGACATAGCAAATCGAAGATTGGAAAAGAGTAATGAATGCAATTAAACACAAAAAAAATACTTACTTTGTTGAAAAAACCTCAGCTATCGAATTTCAAAGAAAAAAACTTGAAGCCCTTAAAGCTCTTTGAGTTTCTATAACGATTTGAGATTGGGGCTTTTTTGATAACAAAAACCCAACTTGAGAAAACAGGATCAACAGGTCTAGTTTTTATTCAATACCTTCATTACTCTTAATAAAATTAATTTAAATTGTGAAAAACTGAATCAATAGTTAGAATTTTTAGTCCGCTGAGAAATCTGAAACATAAAGTGAATCAACGCAAGGAAACAGAAGACAAACTGAACTTAACTTTGAAAACTTCAAAATTTCGAATTTCGAACTAAAACATATCAAGTCTTACAACTCTTTGATTTTCAAGAACAATTTATGATTGAAAATTTTTTGTTTAATATTTGACTCAAAACGAGAAAAAAACTCCATTTAGGTAAAAATTATTAATTGTGTCATCAACGACCCGGTCTAACTTGACAAATTTACAACTTAACTGATATTCTGTGAAAAGATTCAGGAGAATCTTTTCCCAGCCTCAAAATCAGAACAATTTCAAATTTAATGACATTTGAGACTGAGCAAATTGAAAATAAGAAGAAATTAACCTTCTTTTCTGCCACACTTTTATGTAACTAATTTTGACTAAACTATAAATGTAGACTGAATATAGTCCCAAAACGGCCGAATACAGACTACTCAATAAAAAAATTTGATCGTATTGGAGGGCAAAACAGACTATCGTAAATACCCACTTAGATTTCTGAAAAAAAAACGTCTGAACTGAAACTGATACCATTTCAAACAAGAGCCTTGCGTCTCCTATTATAGCCTTTTCTTCAGAAAAAACTACACCCATAATAGTTAAATGGGGTCAGAGCATCAAAAGCACAATTTTTTTGTTGTTAGGCTTGGGGAGCTATATTATAAAATCGAAAATTTTGAGACAATTTCAAGTTTTTGTAAGATCCAACCACGCGCTATATAACAGTTTATAATTATAATTTTAAAGAAAAACAAATCAAAATAAACAGTTTGATCCAGCGTAAGCATTTTCATTAGTTCATTGAAATGCTCATGTTTTTATAAACATGAATTTTAAAGCTGGAAGGAAAATACTAGAGCTTAAAACGATACCAATTTTATCTGATGAGAGTTACCTGGACAATTTAATTTACCTCAGTTCAATTGTGAATGAGCCTTAAGCCGGATTAATTTTTTGTTTGCGCTACGCGTTTGAAAAAAGGCACTCAAAACGGACGTTTTTAAACCTGCAAATCTTAATGAAAACAATCTAATGTGAATTTTTTTTTCTTTTGAAATTTTAGCTCAGGACTTCACTATCATTCAGCATGGTTCAAAAAATTTCCTCCAAATTTAGTCGTAAGAAAGTTCAAATTTGTAGAGAGGAAAAACCTAACAAAAAGCACAAAAAAGTTTTCATACTGAACTGTCGAATTTGTTCGTTGATAGTTTTTCATGTCGCTGAGAGAGCTAATTTTTTCGATTATTTAAAAAATGTTTCCCTTCAATTAAAAAATTTCAAAACAATATTTAAATTATTTAGTGTAGAAAATTTCAATTGTGTAAAAAAGGGTTAAAAAGTATTGCATTTTCGAAAATTTTGTCGACATTTTTTATAGGTCGGCCAATTTGATTTTCCGAGCCCGGGCTCTCCCAAAGTTCTAAAAGTCCCTGGTTTGGCCACAGTTTCTGCGCCGCAGGCAATTTGTTTTAAAAAAACAGTCCAAAAAAGAATTTTGAGTACTTTTTGGAAATTTTTGCCGAAAAAATCGAGCGCTCCCCCCCCCCCCCCCTCAAAATTAGTATATATTGGCGCCAAAGGCGGCTAGAGAAAAAATTTGGGGTCCGTCAGCCAAAAATGGATATCTCAAAATAGTTCAAAGGGGGGAAATTTTAGACCCGAAAAAGGCTGGCGGGTCCTTGAAAACAAAAACTGATTTTTTCCAGGATGGTCGAGCTTTGTTAATTTGATCTCTGTCCATTAAAAATTTCATCTTAAATTTTTAGCAAAGTTTGTCATTGTTCTTTTGAAAGATTGCCCGTGGTCCTTAGGAATTTTAGAGAGTCTAAGCTTACTTGAGTTGACGTTAAATTTTGTCCTCAATTTTTTTAACTCCAAATAACCGGTTTTCAATTTTAAGAGAAAATTCATGTAAATTTAGCAGAAAACTACGTCAGAATGAATCTTACATTTAACAAAAAGTTTTCAATGTGGATGCAAATAGTACAAAAAAATGAAAACCAGTAGAGAAAAAAATAACAAAAAGCAAGCATAAAATGGAAAAGTGTCAATGAATTCAAGAAGACCAGAAAATTAGGCTTGTTTTTATAAAAACTTACGGTTTTGGATTTTTTAATCAAAAAAATTACCCTAATTTTTATGTGGCACATTTTTTTTTGATAAAATTAACTCTATGTGAGAAAATGGATCAAAATTTATTTTTATTCCGCTCGACTTCTGAAAACTAAAACCCATTTTCGAAATAGAGGGCTACTTTTAGAGTTCATACTTTTTTGTGCCATTAGCATAGTCTTAACTGAAAGAGCATAGTTTGCCTTTCATTTAGCGAAAGATTTTGAATTGAGCTTAAAACTGGAAATCGGAAAATATTAAAATCGGGAAGTAATTAGAGACAATATTTTGTTAAAAATATAGATAATTTTTTTAGTATGCTTAACTTGTTTTAGGCAAAACTAATTGATCATGAAAGTTGTGATTTTGAAAAATAATACCTCTAATAATTTCTCGCTCAGCGTAGGAAACTTCATGACTTGGATAAGAAATGCGCGGTACATGTCTCTCTTCTCCTCTGCATTCATCAGGAGGGGCGTGTCTGAAAATGAGGTAAGAATCAAATGGAAACAAAAAAAAACATAGATAAGAAACAGTTGGAATAGCAACTGACTCTGGTTGACCAAAAATGCTAGTCACACAATTTTCATATATGGAAAAATGCTAATCATACACTTTTCATGTAATTCCATTCGTACAGAAAATTGAATGAAAGGTCTATGATTAGTATTTTTTCATATATGGAAATTGTATGACTAGCATTTTTCCATAAACCAAAAATATTGATCTTTTACATTTTAATTTAAACCGAACACAAATGAAATAACCCTTGGTTACTCAACTGTAGTAACCAAAGGTTTGGCCATCTCGCATTAAGAATGCATTGAAAACAGCCTGAAACGTTTTAATTCTGTCTCACACAAATAATATAACGAAAGTAACAAACTTTTAAATTTTGACAAAAATTTTCAAAGACGATTAATCTAAAATTTGAGCTTTTTGATTACCAGATATTGATCAAGGCATACAAAAAGATGCCATACAAAAAAAGAGGAGTTTTAAGCGTTTTTGAAAAAAGTTGTGAAGAGAAAAGCTAAAAAATCCAATATCAGTATATCTAGGACTACGTTATACACACAAAAAATTAAATTTTTGCATGCAAATTTTTTCTTCAAAATTTTTTTGCTGAATACGAAAATCAATTTGCGGTTGAAAAAAAACACAAAAAAGTTTTGGGGCAATTTCAAAAATACTTTGAAAAGTTTTTGTCGTCGCCATCAAAAAATGTTAGTCATATATGGAAATTGTATGATTAGCATTTTTTTGACAAAAGTTTTTCTTTTTTCTTTAGTACGATACACCGAATTTTACGCCAAAACAAAAGAAAAATTTTTTCGAAAACTCAATGACACCATCATAGCAAAATGTATGAAATTTGTATGACTAATATTTTTCATAGACTTAGTTTATGGAATTGTATGATTAGCATTTTTGGTCTATGGAGGTCAACCCGGTGATTCATTATCATATAATTTTTGATTATGATATTGCTAATTGCGTTTCTGGTTAAAATATGACACGTTAAACAAACGCTCAAAAAATATATCAATAGTTATTTCAAAATACATATTCCTATGCGGGGAAATTATAAATGAGCCTCGAGTTCCTAGAAAAATGATTGGCAGTTTATTACTGCCGTTTCGATACATCGAAGTTTCCATGGTCAAAATTTATCAAAACTTAGGTTATTACCGCTCCATAAACCTTAAAAGACAGTCGGAACATTCAAGGCTTCGCCCTAATACAAGCAGTCTTGTTGATCTGTCTTTCGATACGAAAGTAACGGAATATTTGTGCTCGGGGTGGGTTTTTTTTCTTCAGACAAATTTCGACTTTTTAACTAGCCATTTTTGGCGGATTTTTTTTATATCAGTCGAAAAGTATTGTTGTCTTGAGCTCAAATTTGAAAAAAAAATTTCACCTGTGAATATTTTTCATAAAGATATGGGGGTTTAATGATTGCCATTTTGGCCAATTTGGGACAATTAACGCGCGATATATTTCGCGCTATTAACGCGTAAGCGGAGAGTTAATCCGTCCTAAAATTGTTCCAAATTGGTTGAAAGAAACTTATTCGCCAGAATTGATTTGTTACAAGGAGCGAAATCTATCCTTTTGTACTTTAAGTGGCGTGTGGGGGGATAGTTTTCAATGAAAAAATTTCAAATTTTCCAAAAAAAAAAATTTCATTTAAATTTTATGTTGTTTATGTTCCCGCATTGGATTTTCATGAATAAAAATCGATTATAATTGAGTTTCCTTGTCAGTGTCCACAAAAATGAAAACAAATCGATTATAATCAATTAAAAATGGATTATAATATTACTAATTTTCGAGGAAACAAAATCTTTTTTCATCCATTATAATCAATTTTTTTTTCACTTTTGTGGACACTGACAATGAAACTAAATTATATTTTTTTTCCACTTTACTGAGATGCGAATTTCAACGCATATAAAGTCTTTTCTACGTTTTAAATTTAAGTTGATTACGTTGATTACTTGTTGTTAAATTGAATTTTTTTCTTTCTAACTTTAATTTTTTTGTTACTTTTTATATTACTCAACATTTTCCCCCCTACGTTTGCCGATTTACAACAAACCCCCTCTCGCCCCCACCCCCAACGTAACGCATCCGGCGAAAACTTAAAACAACATGAAAAAAAAATAGTTTTACAAATTTTTTATCGTAAACGTGGATGAGCGAACATACAAGCAGATTCTTTCAGGTTAGATGACTTGCGCGGCATTTTTCGGTTCGTTATTCGAGCTTTTACAGCTCACAATAAAATTTTTGTTTCGCTAAATTCAACATTCATGGCCCGTTACTATAGGTCTGATCTTGTTTTATATCATGCGATTAAGCGGAATATAGATTATCATTTCACATTACTCACTAAAATTTTTTTGGGGCAGAGCTGACCGAACTGTGAAAAATTTATAATACACAGAGGCGGAGCTGAAATTTGCAAAACAGCAAGAAAATGGCAACAGTAGCTACTAAAATATGTCCCAAAAGAAACAAAAAAAGTTACTAAAAAACCCCGAAACAAAAAACGTCAGGAAAAAGTGATGCCAAAGTCACTGCTTTTGCATTTGCGACAGCTTTTAAGTGTTTGTAAGTGGTTAGATCGAAATCATGTAACTTGCTAAATGAAACCTGAAAACTGGTGTCCTAAAAGATAAGCATTGCCAGCATAGAATTGACAATGCTCAATTTCGGTCAATGACTCGGAAAAGAGTCAGTGAAAGCAATCAAAAATCAAGGACATATTTTTCGAAAAAAATCTCAGTTTTAGAGTTTTAAAGAAAATAAGTGAAGACCTTCAAGCTCTTCAATTTTATGAAAAAATTTATGATTGACCCACCATTTTGAAAAAATCGACCTATATTGGGAAAACTGGATCAATTGATTTTTTTTTATTTCGCTAGTAAGCCTAATAATTAACATCCATTTCTGATACTAGAAGTTTTCTGTGAATTTTGCTGTTCGATAGTGGAGTTTAAAATTCTTTGAAATTCAGTTTTTGGGAAAATTTAGCATTGACGTACTGCAATGAAACTTACATGGTGAACTCGTAACAGTTTTGAAAAGATTTCTTCTTCCTCAACCTTTTATGGTAACATTACGCGTTCAGCCATAGTTACAATTTAAAAATTATTACGAGGCCAAACTGGCACTCACTTTGTTGTATGCAGGTCACTGAAATCTAGAGACAAGTCTTTATACGAGGCGAAATTTTGTGGGAACGAAAGAACAAAGATCAAAGAAAACGAAAAAACAAAAGAACTTTTTGCTGAATCCAATTTCAATTCACACAATACTCAGTTTTATATTGAAATCTAACAGATATTGGGGTATATCAAAAGATGAAGAAATTGGGAAAAAAAGAAAGTTGATTGCAAAAAAAAATTATCTGAACTAAAAAAAATCGAAAGTCAAACCAGTCAAAAAATAAATATAAGCGTGAACCAATCTTGAGGTTTTTTCGAACAAAAAAGTTAAAAGAAGAGTAATGAGCTCAAGGAAACTGAAAAAAACTGACGTGTTTTTCAAAAATCTTAAACTTTTGAATTTCGAATAAGAAAAATATATGGCCTTAAAGCACTTTGTATTTGTAGAACAATGGACATTTTTTTGTTAAATTAGCCCAATTTGAGAAAACTGGATTAATATGTATTACTTTTATTTTGCTGGAGAATCTGATAATTATGCTAGAGAAAAAAGTAACGCAACTAGAAAAAAAAACACTAAATGAGAGAAAGTTTGTGAAAAGTCAAAACAAATTGGTTACTATTTTGTTAGTTTTGCCCATGGATAGTGATATACCTAGTTTTTTATCCATAACGTCAAACAAATTTTGAGAAAATTAAAAACAACTAAAATAAGCTCATTTCTGAAAGCTTTTATTGATAAATGTTTAGCAGTTTTTGCAAAATTTTCAGAGCAGAGTGACAAAAACGTGACATGAACTTGCATTTCTCAAATAACGAAATGAAAATTATCTGTACTTACTAGTTTTTTTCTGGATCGAAATCTACAAATTTTGTTCCATTGATAAAGGGGCTTACCGTTTGTCAGATTTCAATTTTTTTCTGTTACAATTTACGAGTCAGGCAAAATTATATTTCTAACGTTTTGTTTTCACACAAGGAATGAAACAATTTTATGTTGACCAGGTTTCATAGGGAATTTTTATTATTTTTTTAGCGTTATTCATAGCGTTATTTTTTTCTCCAGTATAATTTCAATTTTCAAAATTAGATGATGATCACGTTTTTCTTGACCTTTAAACTATTGCTGTTCGATACTATAGTTTGCCTTCCTTTTAACAGAAAAAAAATGCACTGAACTTAAAAAGAAGTCACAATTCAAACCGCGGAAAAAATCAAAACTGAGCGTGAACAACGATTAAGACTTTTTCCTGAAAAAAAATCAGCAAGATCTATAAAAGAGTCTTCAATACGTTTATTGTTCCGAATTTCGATACGAAAGTAACGGAATATTTGTGCTCGGGGTGAGTTTTTTTTCTTCACACAAATTTCGACTTTTTAACTAGCCATTTTTGACCCTATTTTTTTATTTCATTCAAAAGATATGGTTGTCTTGAGCTTAATTTTAAAAAGATATTTCACCTGTGATATGAAAGTTATGGGGGTTTAAAGATTGCCATTTTGGCCATTTGGGACAATTAACGCGCGATATGTTTCGCGCTAGTAACGCGTAAGTGGAGAATTAATCCGTCCTAGAAATCGTTCTAAATTGGTTGAAGGAAGCTTATTTGCCAAAGTTATTTGTTAATGGGAGCGGAATCTATCACGTTGTACGTTATATGTTGTGTGGGGGGATGATTTCCACAAAAATCTCAATTAAAAAAAAATCATTTTCTTTTATTACATTCAATTTGTTTCATGTTTTTACTGCTCCATAGACCTCAAAGGCAATCAGAACATTTAAGGCTTCGCCCTGATACGAGCAGTTTTGTTGTTCCGACTTTCGATACGAAAGTAACGGAATATTTGTGCTCAAGGTGGGTTTTTTTTTTCTTCATACAAATTTCGACTTTTTAACTAGCCATTTTTGACGGAATTTTATTTATATCATTCGAAATCCATTGTAGTCCTGAGCTTAAATTTGAATAGATATTTCACCTGTGATCATTTTTTGTAAAGTTATGAGGGTTTAAAGATTGACATTTTGGCCATTTTGACCAATTTGGGTCAATTAACGCGCGATATAATTCGCGCTATTAACGCGTAAGCGGAGATTTAATCCGTCATAGAAAGCGTTCCAAATTGGTTGAAAGAAGCCATAATTGTTTTGTTGCAAGGAGCGAAATCTATTGTTTTGTACTTTATGTGGCGTGTGCGTGGATGATTTTCATAGAAAAATTTTCAAATTTTAGAAAAAAAAGTTTTTCATTTTATTTTGTTTCATTTAATTTTTTTAATGTTGTTTATGTTATTACTGCTCCATAAAGGTGAAAAGGCAATCGGAACTTTTAGGGCTTCGCCCTGATACGAGCAGTCTTGTTTGGAATTCGATTCGCTTACCGTTGAATAGATCGTCGATGACGTATCCGTTTGAGAAGTTATATCCGAGAATACAATATCTCTCAATCTTTTGAGGCGTGTCTTCCTTCAGCTCCGTGTCCACCAATTCATTCAGTGCCATTTTGTCATCTATGTCCTTGGCATTCTTCACATCATCCATGGTCAGTTTGTCCTTTCCTTCTGTGTCACTTCTGGGAAAGGGCAGGTGTTGCATCTCCTCTTTCAGTCGTTTGGTCATCTGCATGAAGTTGTTTTTGGAGTTGATGTTGAAAGTGAAAAGTGATGACATGTCGCCCATCACATTACTAGAACACACATCAGGTGTAATTTAACATATTATCGTGACTTATACCTACTAAACATAGCCAACTGACAGTTGAAAAAGAGTTATGAGAGCAAGGAAACTGAAAAAAAAACTTTTGAAAATCGAAGAAAAAAAAGATGGCCTTGAAGCTCTTTGAGTTTGTAGAAAAATTTACGATGGACACTTTTCTGTTAAAATAACCCATTTGAGAAAAACTGGATCAATAAGCAAAACTTTTATTTCGCTGGGAAATCTGATAATTAATTTCCAATTTCGAAATTAGAAGTCGATCACGTTTTTCGTGACCTTTACTCTTTTGCTGTTCGATAGTGGAGTTTGCCTTCCTTTTAATAATAGAAATGCACTGAATTTAAAAAGAAATCACAAGTCAAACCGCGAAAAATTAAATTGAGCGTGAACAAATTTTAAGCCAAATTCCTGAGAAAAAAGTCAGCAAGATCTCACTATTAAGAGTAATTCACTACGTTCATTACTCTTAATAGTAAAAATATTTGACAAGGAGTTGATGCAGATCCGCTCCCAACGATTAACAGTTCCGTTGAACGTTTTACTAAAACATGATCTAGACTCCTGCATTTCATTCAAAAATGTAAGATTGTTACTTTTTGGGTTATTGAGTTTTTCCTATGATAGATCCTTCGCCATGTATCAAAGATGGCTCTTTGTCATTATAACTGCAAGCAACAACAAACTATTGTAGATCCAACATAGCAGTATTTTTTCATTATGGGGGCCTAATTTGCTATTTGGAGCAATAACGTAAAGAGCCTAAAAATTGTAGCCCAATCACAACAGCAGTTTTGAAAAGGAGGGACTTAATGGGACAGAGTCCAGAAGTTATACTCCCACAACAGAAAGAATCGTCTTTGAATGATGAAGTGCGTGTGTGTGTGCGTGGGGGGGGGGGGGGGGGAGGGGCTATAATGGGATAGAGGTTGGGTTATTTGCTACCATGTACCTGTAGAACATCTTGCTGCCTATGGACATGAGGATGGTGAGTATCATCTCATAGTAGGTGGTCGAGTACATGTCTCCATACCCCACTGTCGTCGTCATCACTATCACGTAGTGCAGAATGCCCTGGTAGATCAGCAGACGCGCATCTATAATCACAGGTAGATACAAGCATCACAGTTTAGTATTCCGATCACGTAAGTTGGAAAAACAAGGTAGAGTTTGGATGAGTTCGGTAGTGCTTTTTTAAGCAACAGGAAACATTTACATACTTGAATTGAAAGACTAACTCAATTTTGGGAAATTAAAAACAATTTGTAATTACATGAATTGGTGGCTCCCATGGCTGTCATCTTTAAAAAAAAATTTCACGTCAAACTTTTAAATTCGGTTCATTAAAACAATTTATAGAAGCATACAAGAAACCGCTTCCAAAAAAAGTCGACGCAAAGCCAAAAATTCAGAACTATAAGGCTTCGACTTCCAAAAGAGTTTTTTCTATGCACAAGTTTTTATGATTTGTTCTAGGAGTTCGAGATAGAAAAACGGTTTGAAATTTTTTGTTTTCGACCAATTCAGAGAAGCTGAAATTTGATAGTCAGTCAAACTCAGATACAAGTAGAGACAAAAATAATTCAATTGATTCGCTCTATTAGGCCAAAAATACAAACTTACTTTCCTTCTCCTCACCATTGGTCACAAGGAAAGGGTAGTTTGTCTGAGTTCCAATCATCGTATCCATGGAACACACTGAAACAAAATCCATCATATTGAAACTGGCGCATGCCGAGCAGCACGCGACATCACTATTACAGCTGTATAATTTACAGCAGCACGCGACATCACTATTACTAATTTTTCGATTCGTATTTCTGATCATTACGAGGCCCAACTGTGCACTGGATAGGCGCAAAATTTTGTGTGTGTAGGTCTCTGGAACCCAGAGACAAGTCTTTAAACTTGTTACATTATTGTCGGAAAACGAAAGAACAAAGAAAGAACAAAGAGCGCGTCCTTGTTGCGGGATCCGCTTCCAATTTGCAAAAATTGTGTTTTTTGGACAAAATTGTTTCAATGAAACAAGTGTCAAAAATCGACAAAATGGTCAATGAACTCATGTAAACCAAAAATGATTGATTTCCTTTGAAAATATTTCAAATTTTGAACGTCCAAAAAAATACATCACATCAAAACTTTTTCAATTTCAGAAATTTTTTATGCTGATTACTTCTTTCAAAAAAGCTAACTTAATTAAAAATATTTCCTTAAGTAAAGAACTAAAACGCTGATGAAACAACTTCACACTCAAGACAATTGTTATTGCTTCTGGCACCAATCAACAAAAAAAATTTTACCTCTTATTTAACGTTCTAAGTTTTTTACTAGTAAAATTAACTATGTCTAACAAAAATCTAAAAATCACGCAAACCAGAATATAAATCATCTTTAAGAAAGTTGATAAGCAACTAAAATATTTCAGAATTGATTCCATTCCTGAATTTGAACTTTTTTGTTTTCAGCTTTCGCTTACTTAAGCCGCAGCGGAAAAATGTAAATCTTTAAATCTAAATTATTAAAAACAAAAAAATCTTTTAAGTTTTTTGTATCAGTTGCTGTTTGCAATTGAAGAACCTGATTTGCTCTTTTTTTAAACAAAATCATTTGAATAGAGCTTAACAAGAAACAAGACTGCTCTGCTTGTACAATACAGCAAAGGCTTGAAAGTTCCGACTGCTTTTTAAAGCTGACGAAAACGTTTTTGCTTAAAAATTGATGAAGTAATCAAATCACAAAATGGAAAAAATGAGCGGTTATTTGTTTTTGAATTTCTTTAATCCCCAACACGCTAAGTAAAATACTAAGTTATGGATTTAGCATCTCATTTTATATTAATAGAATCAAATTAATGGTCTAATTTCAATTTGGATTGATTTAATGTTAATTCCCCTAACTTTACAAAAAGTGAACATAGCCAAAATACAGTTGGAAAAAGTCAAAGAATGCAAGTAACGAAAAAAATATACTGATTTGCTTTTTAAAAATCTCAATTTTTGTGTTTTGAAGAAAAAAATAGATGGCATTGAAGCTCTTTGAATTTCTAGAACAATTTATCATTGAGAAACCTTTATCAAATTCTCCAATTTGAGAAACCTGAATCAATACGTTAAATTTTTATTTCAAAATTAGAGATTTAGAAAGTTTGAGCCTGAACAAAAGGTACATTTTTCCTGAAAAAAAAACTTAGCCAACAGACAGTTGGAAAAAAACTTAGCCAACAGAAAGTTGGAAAAAAGTCAATAGTTGCAAAAACACCGAAAAAAAAACTGATTAAAAAAATTCAACTTTCAAATTTCAAAGAAACAAAAATTATATGGCCTTAGGGCACTTTGAATTTCAAGAAACGTTTTGACAAAACGAGAAATATGGAGTAATTGGTAATGAAAATTGGCATTTTTCCAGTCCACCTCTCTTACATTCAATTTTGAAAAGCTTTTTAACGTTGTCATTATGCAATGAAATTTAGCGTGGCGAACAAATCGACAACTATGAACAGATTTGTTCTTCAATTTGAGAAAACTGGAAAAATTGGTTTAAAAAAATTGGCTCTTTTTCAATTTGAGAAAGATCTGAACTAATTTACGATGGAAAGTCTAAAAATGATTATCACTTTCGAAATAAAAGAAAGAATCTAAGCCAAACCATGAAACTTTTTTTTTTAAATTTAAAGTTCAGAAGACTTAAAAACCATTTCAATTGTACATTGATGACGATGGTCGATAATGTTGGCTGCAGAGACTCGGCGCAAATTACTTAACACTAACAATCAGGGGCGGATTTAGGATTTTCTCGAGGGGAGCGGCGTATTTTCAAAAATTTTGTTGACTTTTTTTTAGGTCGACCGAATTGATTTTCCGAGCTCTCCCAAAGCATTAAAAAGACTCTGTTTTGGTCAAAAAGTCTGTGCCGCAGGCAAAATTTTGAAAAACAGGCCAAAAAAGGCATTTTTAGGCACTTTTTAGAAAAATTTGACCAAAAAAATTGTGTTTTTTTGGCGCGCGCTCCCCCTTAAAGTAAGTATAAATTGGCGCCAAAGGCGTCTTTAGAAAAATTTTAGGGTCCGTCACCAAATATGGATATTTCCAAATAGTACAAAGGGGGACCCCTTTGGGTCGGCAGGGGGTCGAATCCCTGAGGGGAAGAGGGCACCGCCCCCCTCCCCCCCCCCCTTAATCCGCCCCTGCTAACAATAGATTAGTTTTTAACCTTTAAGCCAGGTGAAGCAAGTGATGAACATCCAGGAGATGGTCATCCAGTGGGTGTACACAGCCACATTCAGCACAGTCCACACCAGACTGAGGATGGTACTCTTCGAAAGAAACATCTTCAGGCCATAGTCTAAATCCTTCACTATCCGAAACAGGATCCAACACACTCTAGAACAAACAATGAAACAAAAAACTTTCAGTTGTTAGTGCAAAAATTCCACCAGCCTTTTTTTAATTATCGGTTAAATTTTTCTATGTTAATTCCGCAACGGCGTTCAGACAATTCGGCCAAAGACAATTCACCCAATTTGAAATTCAGACAATTCAGCCAAAAATATACAGACAATTCAGCCAGTTTTACTAGATTGTTAGCTAGATTCAAAAGAAAAAATCGATAACCGGCTCTAAATTTCGTTGAGTCCTATCCTCTGTTGGCAAGCTCGCAACACGTTGGCGCGACTGCGGCGGTCACTATTATTGGCTGAATTGTGGTTTTCATCGTATACAGGTGGACTAAACCCTAATATGTTAGCTGATCTGTGTTATTCTACCTGAACAGGAATCCGTATATGAGCACGAGGATCTGGTAGATCAGAAAGGATTCTTGACTCCTATCACCAGGCTCAGTGTACGTTTGAATGATTTCAACTGAAACACAAAAGCGCCAAAAGAAGTTTCAGCCATTTTCTTATCTGGTAAAAGTGGCTGTAAGTTTCTAGCTATCGCTAATCCATAGCATCGGAAACCTGTAAGATCTAGCAGAAAATTCAACGTGAATTAAGCATTCTCTGCAGTATTCGGGAGTTGTTACACAGAACAAATTAGGAGCCAAAACCGATGCCAAGCCTTTTTCTAATTTATGGAAGAATCTTGAAATAACTCACTTGGAACACAGCTGATGGCTTGCACGATGTATCTGAAAGCATTAGCACACGGACTTTTGGCAACGAAATAAGGTTCCACCAAGATCAGTTCGAAAAACAGGTATATACAGCAGCACAATGTGATGATGTTGATCCACAATTCCCGTCCATTTAGCACAAAATGCAGCGGTGACACAATTAGCAGAAAAGCGCAGACGAACTTGGTGAGGATGAGGAGCCAAAACATGTTTCGGCTGTTTGAACGAATCACCTGGAACTTGCTTCGCTTCTCTTCGCCTGAAAATTATAACTCTGAGGTTGCAAGATAAAAACAATAAGAAGAATTTGTGGCCGAAAAACACAGAAGTTCATAAAATGACACTCCAGTAAAATTATAACTGCGAGGGAGATCACTATAGGATCTGCAGATCCGTTTTCAGGTGTGTCTAAGAGGAAAAATGAGTTCACTCTTTCAACAAAAAAGAAACCCCAAAATAAGCCCATAAAGAATGTCAGCTTTCACTAAACAATATTAGACCAAAATCTTTAAGTTTTATATGATATTAAGAACAATCCAATTTTTTGAAGTTTCACCGATTTAATTTTTCAATTTTTGTTTATTCTTCCAAACTTTTGTTTTTCTTCCAAATTTGTATTTTAACGCCAAATCGGAGTTACATTTGATATTGTCAAAAGATACATTCTTCTCAAATAATTCTGTTAAATAAACCTTATGTTGTAGCGATAGCAACGAACGGATCACTTAAGCGGTTCGCTCTCTAGGTACAAAGTTTGCATACGCTCAACGGTCAAATTAGTCGTTTATAGGGGTGGATGTTTGCATATTCCTAGGTGCAATAAGGGGGGGAGGACGGGAAAAAAGAGATGGAACGTACTCATGTCCTCTTTGTCAATGTCCTCTCCATCCTTCATCAAGTCATCCTCGTCTTCGTCCTCATCTTCCTCTGAGCCAGAGGAGCTCTCACTGGCACTCACAGTGGATATGTCGCTGCCACTGGTCTGTCCCCCGCCCGTCTCCCTCTTCTTCTTCTCCTCCTTCTTCCTCCTCTTCTCCTCCGCCTTCGCCTCCTTCTCTCTTTGCTTCTCATTCTCCCTCTCCATCATCTCGAAGAAGTCCATCCCCTCATAATCTGGCTCCTTCTGCAAAAACACAGCAAAACACGAATAAACCTATTTACCCATTTATTCAAATACTATCACAAACATGTGGACATGATTTAAGAAAAGTGCAGATGGTTGCCGACACGCAGCACAAAACTTTTCGATCACCATTATTTTGCAACCCAAAACATTAGCCAACACTCAGTTGAAAAGGGGTAATTGAATGCAAGCAAACAGAAAAAAAACACTTCAGAATAAAAATACTGTTTTGACAAAATTAACCAATTTAAAATTTGCCAAAACTTTAACCAAAACTTGATCAGTAAGTAGCTTTATTTTCCGCTGGGCAATATGAAAAATAAAAAGCTTTTTTGAAAATATATTTCGTTCTTTTTTGTGACCGTTATACTTTTGCTGTTCGATGATGGAGTTGCCTCGATTTAACGGAGTAAACCAAAGAACAGCAAAAATCAAACAGCAAAAATCAAATTCTAAAATGTTTTCCTGAAAAAAATCAATGCGCTCATTAATACTTGAAAAAATGAAAAAAAAAAACTCTTTTTAACAGAAGATTAACTGACGCGTAAAATAATTTTTGCTTTTTGAAAATCCCGCTTTGACTACGTCCACAGAAAATGCTAGTCATGCAAATTCATGCTACTACTCGGCTGTATGGACCAATTGGTTTAAACGCTTATCATATAATTCAAAAACTTTACGAAACCGAATTGTATATTTTGTAAATTGTGAGTGGATTCCGCAACAAAGACGCTTCCTTGTTCTTCTTTTGTTTTTTCAATCTTTTTGATCGTTGCGACAAAGCTTTAACATGATTAAAGAATTTTATCTGGAATCCAGGACCATACAAACACCAAATTCTGCGCTTATCCAGCGCACAGTTTGGCTTCGTATTGAAACTAATACAAAAAGAAAAAGACACAAGCTTAAAAACGAGAAAACTGAGCGATGTTTAGCGGCAAAGAATGGTATAACTTATAAGAACGTCTCAGAAAACTCCAGTCATAATTTTTGTAGTAATAGCAATTCTGTAATCAAACAAGCAATTTCCAAAACTAAAGGAAAAACAATAATTGTGTGTCCATAATGTAGTCAAGATTCTTTTTAACTCAAACTAGATTTTCTGACTTCAGCTGAAATCTAAACTTTTGTTTTGGTCAATTCCCGATCTTTCGGTCAAATAAATTTCATGCTTATAACTAAAATTGTTTAAAACTAGCTGATTTTTTACGCCAATAAAATAAAATGGAGTGACGTCATCAAGTTATCTCTTCAGAAAAAGCTAAGGCCAAAATTTCTCTTTCTCGACCAAAATTGAAAAAAAAGGAGTGATTTTGTCATATTACTACTTCAAACACAGCAAATACCACAACGAAGTATTCTATAAACTTCTAAATGAAGCCACAAGAGCGTTGGAAGAAAGTCAAGGAACGCAAGGAAACAGAAAAAACACTGACTTAATAGAAAAAACTTACTTCGAATATCAAAGAAAAAAGTAGGTGCCCTTTTAGCTGTTTCAATTTCTAGAATGCTTTATGATTGGCACTTTTTTGATAACGTCAACACAACTTGAGAAAACTGGATCAAAAAATAACGTTTTTATTCCGCTGAAAATCTAAAAACCAAACTCTACTTTTGAAACTAGAAATAGGTCACGTTTTTTGCGCCGTATCTAGATTCATATTTGGAGAGTGCTATTTATGTGTTTGTCAGCAGATGAATTTCAATTGAACTCAAAAATCGCAAATATACCTAAGTGCATTCATAATTGTATCAATATATATGAATGCCCATCTGTAGTTATTAGACCATTTTAAGGTTTTTTCTTGAACAAAATTAAAAAAAAAATCGCCAAGACCTATTTAAGAGTCTTCACGACGTTCATTACTATTAAAAATATTGAGATAATTATTTTTCCCAAGAAGAAAACATTTCTCATACAAAAAATAAGAAGCCGCCACTTCTGCAGGAACAATTATTGGAACAAGTTCTTTCAAACTAAATTTCATCTCAGATTTGATTGAGTAAACTTTAAAAAAACTCAAAAATTTCCAAAAAACTGTCAGAAATCTTTCCAAAATCCATAACTATTTTTTCTGACCGCTCTAGCAGATAAGATTCTCACAACCAGTTTTTTTGATTGAAAACAACCTGAGATGTGGCGCGGTAGTTTTCGGATAAAGTTAAAAAAGTATTTGACTTAGGTGAACCTTGACTTCTTTTTTCTTACACAAACTACCGGTATATTCATTTTTAAAAGTAATCTTTCAAATTAAAAAGTTTGACATTTTCGAGGATCAAAAATTGTTGTATGAAAAGTAGGGGGTGACCGCTTATGCAGAGGGATTTACGAAAATTTTAATTTTGAATCAACCGAAAATCTGAGATTTGTGAAGGTAGGTCTCAAGAAAAGTAGAAAAAAACTTTCGAAAACAAAACGGTCAAAAAAATTTGACTCTTCCAAGGGCCATAAGAAAAAATTATCAGAAGGTATCAGAAAAAATTGGGCTTAATTGTATAAGCCAACGAGCTTTCCACAACCTGTTCGCTGAATTTAACCTAAAATCTCAGATATGGCTGGGTAGTTTTTGAGAACATTTAAAAAGTTTGAAAAATAGTCAAAATTTGACTCTTCCAAGGGCCATAAGAAACAATTATCAGAAGTTATCAGAAAAAATTGGGCTTATTTGTATAAGCCAACGAGCTTTCCACAACCTGTTCGCTGAATTTAAACTAAAATCTCAGATATGGCTGGGTAGTTTTTGAGAACATTTAAAAAGTTTGAAAAATAGTCAAAATCAAACATTTGTATTTTCCGCGGTCGATAACTTTTTAGACCACAAACTTTGTGAGTGCCCGCTAATGCAAAGGGAACTTCCGACTAGCCGTTTTTACTACTGAACCCAAAATATCAGATTTAAGAGGTTAGTTTTTCAGGTTAGTCAAAAAGATTCAAAAAACGGTCAAAACTTTTCCGAGGGCCATCATTTTGCATGTAAAAAAGTTTTTGGCGTAACCACTTATGCAGAGAGCTCTCTGAAACCGTTCTATTCATTTAAAACCTATTCATCAAATCTGAACCTAAATTTGAGAGAGGTAGTTTTCGAGAAAACGAAAAAAAAATCAAAAATATGTGTCAAACATTCCCCCGAGGTCTTTTTCGAAGGCTTTAGACGGAGAAGTGAGGTGCAAAGAGACTCAAGGCAAGCACACATGGGAGTAGGTGTTCTTTCACTTGATACCCTTTTTTGAAAATCAGTAGAAGTTCCTCCGAAAAGCTAAAATGTTTTCAATAAGTTTAGAAATAGTTTTCCATAACAAAAACAAAAACCAACAAATTGCTGAGGGTAGGATTAAAGTTGTGTTTTTCTTGAAACCATCCAAAATAGGGTCATCAAGCCGGTAAAAAATAGGCTGAAACAATTTGGGCCAAAGAACTTTTTCAGCGAAACAAAACAACACAAAGAAGGAAATACGAAGCTTAGTAAAATTACATACAAAATATGCGTAGCAAAAAAACGATTCCAACATGTGACAACTAAGCCGACAACAGATAAGCAGACAGATAATTGGCCGACAATTCGAACGCAGCTTGCCGGCAAACATCCTTAAGAGTTTGCGAACCAAGTCGGTAAAAAATCTGACATATTTTACAGTTTTAGAACTTAATTAGCTTCGTCAAAAAAAATTGCGATCCGATTCTAGCAGTACAAAATTTCAAATTATTTGCGAACCGCTTCACGCAGCAAAATAACCTTAAAAGTTTTTCGCTTTTCGCAGATTTTCGCTTTAATTGCTGGCTGAAAAGACGTAAATGTTTGCAAATCGATTCATGGTATAATGTTTTATTTTCCAATTTTCATCGCGATTATTTAGACCAAATTTTCGACGTAATGAAAGAATATTTTAACCAAACTCGACAT